CCCCAAAACCCCAAAACCCCAAAACCCCTTGGTGAGAAATGAATATTGGAACTGAATTGGGAGATTATTTGGATTTCACTGGGGTTATTGTTTAGTTAGTAGAGGCATTGTAATTTTTTCTTGAATTTTCTTTTATTTAGTTTTCTAGCCTTCCTGCCTTTAATAGACTTTTTCTTAGTTCTATTAGATATAAAGGCTCCCTTCATTTGAGGAGACATACCAAGATTCTCATCATTGCACAATGGAGTTGCTGAGAGAGTTGGATTGCTTCAGAAATTTTCAGATTTAATTTCTTCATTTTTAGTAATATTTTTGTCAGAGCTGTGGAACTGGCTTAAAATCTCATTTTCAACTCTATCCTCTTTTTTCTCTCCATTCTTAATAATTTCAGTGGAGAATTCTTTAAATTTTATATCCTCAGTCTTATTTTCTCCTGTCTGAGTCTCTCCTACTTCAGTCTCTTTCATTGAAGAATCTTCACTGTAAGTCACCTCCTTCATAGTATCTTCATATTTTGTCTCTTCATTCTTATTCTGCTTATTAGGGGCTTCTTCAGGATTTGTATCTTGATTGAGTATTATTCCTTCTTTGAAAGATGCTTTTGGAATTGCATTGAGATTTGACTCCTCATTTAAGCCCTTCTTAAGAATGAGTTGCTGATATGAATAGCTCATTACATCCATTATAACTGTGTCCAAACTGAATTCTTTTCGAATCTTATTTAATTGGATTTCACAGTCTTTAAAATCCAAGAAATGTCCACCATTAATTGCTTCTCATACTTTCTTCTTTTCTATAACAAAACTAGCTTTAATTCCATTAATGGCCTCTATGAACTTGGGTCATCTTTCTTCAATATAAAAATCTTCATAGTGTCTCTGAGTAATTTCTATCAATCTATCCAAACTTTGAACTTGATATTCCAATTGCTGAGAGCTTCTTATCTGCTCAACTTTACACTGATAATGCTGGTCTGCCTTACACTTTCCTCACACAGGCATTTCATGATCCTGACAATACTCTGTACTGATCTCTTGTCAAAACTTTGTCTTGCAGGTTACTCACATCTTACTAAAAATAATTATGTAAATTCTACTTAAATTTAGCAATAAGGGGTTTTGGGGTTTTGGGGTTTTGGGG